AACTTCTCTTCCTCCTCCTACCCCCAGTCTGTTCCCTCTTCTTCTTCTGATCACTCATCATTGTCCCTCCACCAATGCCCCTGGCTCTGAGCCTTCTTCCCCTGGGGGTTCCCTTGGGGGTTCCCCAGTTGGTGCGGGTCCCACCAGTCTTCAGCATCCAGTCAGCCCATGACATCAGAGGACAGAGGGATGTATGTAGAAACTACCCCTGCTGTCCCAACATAACACTGCAATGTTGGAAACAGCACGATGGCAACATTACTGCTGAGCTGCCGCCATGCTGTTTCCGTCACAACAGTAATTGATTATTGCAAAGACTTCAAAGGGTTGTGGGAGGCAGACAACCCCCGCTGGACATTTTGGAGATTTTTGTTGGTTAAATAATAGAATCATAGAGTTGGAAGGGACCCCGAGGGTCTTCTAGTCCAACCCCCTGCAATGCAGGAAACTAAACTAAAGCATCCATGACAGATGGCCATCCAACCTCTGCTTAAAAACCTCCAAGGAAGGAGAGTCCACAACCTTGCGAGGGAGACCATTCCACTGTTGAACAGCTCTTACTGTGTCTGTATTGGTTGACACATTGTATTTCAGCTGTTCATAAAGCAAATGACCCTGGTACCTGGTTGGCCAATCTTGCTGAAAGAATTCTGAGGAAGGGAGAGCATTGGTCAGACTTTCCATCGCTGTCCTATATGTTTTCCAGCGCCCAGCTACAATGATGTATTTACACCCAACCACGGTTTAGAGGCAGCGAAGAATTTAAAATGTTTCCGTTATGCTGGTTTTAGTGTCTTTGTGGGGTAAGTTATGGCCTTTATGCAAAGGAGTCTCTAAAGGAAGCATTTCCAAGTGCACTTTCTAAGTTGCCATTTAACCTGTCACTTTTTTTTAGCCAATCCCTCTCTTCGAATAGTAATTAGACATCTCCGATAGTGATCTGCAGAAAATACTCTCTGGTAGTCTTCTGGGTGACTATCGCTGGCAGTTTTATTACTAATTTGGAGTTGCCACTGGGCCTGTCATGTAATTAAGTTACTAATGGAGTGTCTTGGCTGAGCTGCTTTCTTTTGTTATTTTTTCCCCTCCTCTGTCCGTTCGTTTTATGAATTCCTTTGTATGTGTTTGATGATAAACTCCTGCCTGCAATCGCTCACCAACCTTCTCTCCCCCCCCCCGCCATTATTTTCCAACATCACACAATATAGTTTACAATCAAAGGTGCCCCTGGGTAGAGATTTATGATATTTACATACTGCTCTAATTAGGATAATGATTACACCTGCTTTAAGATAACATTTATTACCTGCTCTAACAGACCCACCAAAGCCTAGTGGAAACCAACTGAGTAGGATTTTTTGGGTTGTTGGTTTTTTTTTGCTTTTTTTCCCAAAAATGCTTTTAATCCTGCTGTGCTTACAGCAAGAGACGTATAATAGCTTTGCTTCAAAGAATAACAGTGGAACCATTCGAATGGGAGCCCTTTCCTGTTTTCCATCTCCTTGCTGCTTTCTCACCCTCTCAGTCAGTGTTCTTCAGCTTACCTTGCTTTTCCATCTCTATAATCCAGGCTGCCTTCATTTAGGGCACCTGGGACTTCCTCCAGAATGCCTTGAAGTGGTTTGCATCACTGCGCAGGGGCTGGCAGGTCTGCACAGCTGACATCTAGCTATAAGTTCTCTTGCTTTCCAGGAAAAAAGGGTCTTGTGGCTTTTCCTGCTCCCCTTCTGTGATTCAAGTTGCTGTTGGGCTGCAGTTCCCATCATCTCTGACCGCTGGCTGAGCTGCCTGGGAACGATTGGAGTTGTAGTCCAACAGTATCTGGGGACACATGGCTGACAGGTGCTGCCCTATGCCCCACCCCCTTTCAAGCACACAAAGAATCTGAGCCACAAGGCAGCTTCTTCTCCACACATTTGTTTGTTTGTATCCTGGTTTCCCCCCAGAACTGGAACTCAAGAAGGCTCACAAAAATTAAAACAAACACAAATAAAACACCAAAAGCCAAAAACATAAGAATCATAGAACTGTAGTGTTGGAAGGAAACCCAAGGGGTATCTATTCCTTTTTTAAAAAAAATAATAATATTTTTATTGGTTTTTCCATGTATACATCCTCTAACAATATTTCTCTAACAATTTTCCAAATCCCCCCCCGACTTCCCTCATATTCCCATTTTGTTTTATCGCCATATTACTCACCCTGCGTGTTGTTTCCCAAAAATGTTCCCCATACATATAACCTTACTTTTTGCTATATACAATTGTGCTTGTTTATTCAAACCCTGCCAGTGTGTCCAATTCTTTATGTTGCTTCTTCGTGTATGTTGTAAATGGTTCCCATTCTCTTTTAAAGTCTTTGTTATCCTTTTCATGTAATTTATCTGTTAATTTTGCCAGTTCTTCATAGTCCATAAGTTTCCCTTGCCATTGTTCTTTCTTTGGCATTTCTTCTGTCTTCCAAGCTTGTGCTCATATAATTCTTGCCACTGTTGTTGCTTACATAAATAATTTCCAATTTTCTTTATAAAAAATCTTTTTTAAAAGGGGTATCTATTCCTAACCCCAGCAATGCAGGAATCTCAACAAGATAATTCATGACAGATGACCATCCAACCTCTGCTTAAAAACCTCCCAAGAAGGAGAGTCCACCACCTCTCGAGAGAGTCTGTTCCACCATTGAACAACTCTTACTGTCAGAAAGTTCTTCCAGATCTTACTTTGGAATCTCCTTTCTTGCCACATGGATCCATGGTTCGGGTCCTCTCTCACAATACTAGAACTCAGGGACACCAAATGAAGTTGAATGTTGTAGATTCAGGACAGACAAAAAAAAAAGTATTTCTTCACATGGTCATGTGGCCAGCATGAGTAAACCACTTCTGGCACAATGGATGGTTTCCATGACGAAAACCAGAGCGCACTGAAACATTGCTTACTTTCCCGCTGGAGCGGTACCTATTTATCTACTCGCACTAGTGTGCTTTCGAACTGCTAGGTTGGCAGAAGCTGGGACAGAGCAACAGGAGATCATCCCGTTGCGCGGATTTGAACCGCCAACCTTCCAATCAGCTAGCCCAAGATGCCCAGAGGTTTAGACCATGGCGCCACCCGCTCCCCTATTTCTTCACACACAGTGCATAGCTAAATTGTGGAAGTCACTCTCATAAGATGTAGCGATGGCCACCAGCTTGGATGGCTTTAAAAGATGGTTAGACAAATTAATAGTGGAAAAGGCTATCCTTGGCTACGAGTGAGGATGCCTATGTTCTATCTCCATTCCCCAGTTGCTGGAGAGCTCAAGTGCAGAGAACCCTGTTGCTCTGCATTCCAACTTGTGAGCTTCCCATAGGCATCTGGTTGGCCAAAGTGAGAAAAGAATTCCGAACTAAATGAGCCTCTGGCTCTGCGGACCCAGCAGGGTTTTTCTTACATTCTTCTGAGAACAGAAATACATTGAATGCCTTATCAAGCACTGTGGCTAAAGCGTATCCTCCCTCAAACAGGGCACATGTTGCGGTGAGACCTGGAGACTGACCTCCTGGTTGTGGGTGGGTATATTGGGCAGCCACAACACCTGATTGGTAAGTCCCTCATTGCTGGGTTTAATCTGGTCAATGGGGAGCTGACTAATCAGACCGAGGGGCCTATTTATACCTATGCACGTGACCCAGAGCTTCCTCTTTCAGCTCGTGCATCGGAACACTCGCCCACCTCTCCCTATATTTAGGGCATTTTGTGATTGACCTTGCTATGCCATCGTGTGTTGTCTGTCGTTGGGGCAGGGGCACGGCAGGAATTTTCCCCACTTGGCAGATTGGCTGTTGCCATTTGGGTTTCGCCTGCCGCGTAGCAAATCGTCACAACTTGTAAGGTTGCGGATAGGCATTGGTTCAGGTGATAGGGATGGGAGAACGCTCTCGCCATCCATATGTGAAGGGTATTCCGTTAAAGGAATCCAAGGACTCAACTTGGTTTGGTCAACCCCCGAGAGAGGGTTGTGCCCGTGCCTGAGTCCAGAGGAGCATCTGGGGAGTGGACATATCCTGTTCCCGGGCTTTCCGCCCACCTCAGGTGTTTAGCCTTGGCTGACCTATGATAGAGCTCTAGGTCAGCGCTACCTGCAAGGGCGCGGGGAGCTAGTCAAACCAGAGCCTATACAACCACTCACTTTCTGTAATCAATAAAGTTGTGGCCTAAATTCTGCCAAAAACCAAAACTAAAATTTGAGTCAAGTGTGAGTTTATTTAGGCGGGAGGTCTCTGGGTCTGAGCAAAGTAGTTAAAGCACTGTTTCTGGTCTTGCAGTTATTCTGAGTTTTCTCTATCAAAACACTTTATCACAAGTCCATTTGATTTGGAATGAGGAACTCCATTCAGAAACAACCCCACTCTGTATGTTAATCAGCCCACTGTGCATTATCCACGAACCAAACTATCACATAAACTAACATTTCAGAAAATCCTCCCCTTGTGAAAATTATGTATCCAATTTTGTGGTTCACTGTCCCAAACACACGATATTACTTTTTGACGTGGCAATAATATTTGGGGAAATCTTTGGGGAGGTGTTGCATGGCTGTACTTACAACCGTGTAAGATTTACATTAGTTCCTTGGGGATGGGGAACACCCCGGTGAGATGAAAGAACTATTGAGTATGGGGATCAGGCTGTTATTCTTCTCAATGAGAAAATGTTAGTGGGATGTCGTGGGGCTGGGGCTGTGATATATATTTCATCCTGATTGACGATGTTTCCTTTGATAAGATTTGTAGATGTACGCTCCTGGAGCGATGAAGGGGCACGCTTCTGGGAAGGCAGATAAAATATACACAGTCGACTTCTGAGCTTGCCGCGGGTTAATGTTACAGTAGGTAATGTGTATCATTTGTAAAACGTGGCTGCCACCTGGGGGCATCATCGATGATTTCAGATGATTTCAGATACCTGTTTTCATCTGTTTGAGTCAAGCATTTACTGTTTCTTATTGTTCTTTTTCAGAAACATCCTTTACAGGCTGGATGAAAGGACACACCAATTTTCAGTACTGCTAGAGGCGGTGGAACACTGCAAGCTGCATCAGTCAAATGAGACTCTTCAAGCAGCCTTGTCGAAAGTGCTCAGCAGCCTCAATTCAGCTCAGGTTTCTTTCAAAGCAGGACTCAATGTCTTTGAGGCTGCCTTACTGGGAAGCAAATGAGGAATCTGTCTCTTTCACGTGTACACACACACCTACACACAGGGAAGAGCTTTGTTTACATTTTGCAAAGGAAAACTCTGAGCTGGACCAGAAATTGTATGTGGTTGAAACCTTTCCTTTCTTTTTTTCTTTTTCTTTTTTGACTCTTTAAAAGAGTCCCTGTTTCACGGCACCATTTTGTACAGTTAGATAAATCTGAAGCAGCCTTTTGCACTGTTGACAATTTATCATGTACTTCTATTTCCGAATGATATATGGAGGAAAGCTAACTCTTTGGAATGTGTTTGTACACACAAAATCAGCCTTGTAAATGAGCCCACGAAAGCTAGTAGATTGCAAAGCAAAGGACTAGCTTGCTGTGACTGTCAGGAGAGGACAAAGGGCTGTGTCCTCCTTGCAGAAGCCCTCTGGTTCATCTTCATGGAAGTCCATGTACTCACTAAGCGGGTGCTTAGATATAAGGTGGAATATCTCTGAAAATTTCATTTGCTTTATTGAAAAGGGGGTGGGTGGAGATTAAGACTCAATATCATCATAAATGTGGGGGGAAATAGATCTTTGGATTTAGAAGATCAGATTTGGACTCAAATAATGAATTGAATTGGGGTGAAACAGAACGGATCTGAAACATATTGGGCAGCTTCCAAATATTAAAGATACAAGGCAAATCTTTTTTCTACAAGAAATCCCATATATATATATATATATATATATATATATGGATGTATATCGGCCTTGTATTTAAGCCCTTGCCTATACCCCCTGGTATAGGGTGGTATAATAATAATAATAATAATAATAATAATAATAATAATAAATAACTAGTGCATTGAGTTCCATGAAGGCAAATGAGTGGACTGCTGCAGGAGAGATGAAGCTAACAACCAGTGTATGTCTTTAGTGGGCTGAATTTACATGCATCCATAGTCTTTTACTTTCTCAGTTGAACTGCAGCCCACCCACCATTCTGTATCACAAACTTCTGGTGAAACTATCCGTTTCAACAGTGGTTTGTCAGGTAGCATTAGGGACTGCTGTTCAATGAAAAGAGTCAACAGCAGAGCAAGTTGACGCAGAACTAGTGGATCTTGGTCATGAAACCTTACAGAGTGACGAGGGCACTTTGCAAGTGCCACTGTGCTGATTACAGGCACCTGTATGGATATTGTAAAACTTCCATCATAAATATCTTCAGGTTTCACTGATTAACCCCTTATTTATAAGCATACTTTACCCTTAACTAGCAGCAAGCCAGGTCTGCCTGTCAAATTCCACCAGCAATACTGAACAATCCCTCCTTCCTTTGTATTCGCAGACCACTTTCAAGCTGCTTATGTTTTATAGACATTTAGCATTAAGAATTAAGCTTTCCTCACCTTGAGGTGGCTAGCGAGTCAATCGTGTCTCCTGTGGATGACAAGGTTAGTCAGAGTCATAAAACAGTGTTGCTAGTATTGTTCTCCGATAAGAAAGAGATGTTTATGGACTATAGCTGTCACTGTCTGCCCAGGAGACATAACGTTGGCAATGTTGGATGTGGTTACATTTCTCCTTCTTAATCTCTGGCTACAACCAAGATGGCAACATACATACGACATTGTGAGGCATATCCCGGTGTTCCATACTCATGCTCAGGCAAACACCTGAACACACCTATGGCTACTGTCATGTCACATACAGCTGGGGATGCAAAGTACTACTGTTGTATATAGCAGAAATTAATCCTGTTTCACCCCCTGAATTGTTGGCTGACCTCCCAATATAAGTCAAGTGTTAGGCAAGTTATTCCCAGTGGAATCAAAACTGGCACAAGTGGAGTCGGGCTGTCAGGAGGAATGCAACTGAAAATGGCAAATCCATGGTGAGCGCCATGGGTATCCTGAATTCAGTTTCCTAACAGGGAGAGATTTCTGTTTTCCTGTCAAGAACCAGTACATATACAGAAACCAATGGCTTTGAGTTTCATTGTGATACAAGCATGGCCATGGTGCACTAAGAGTTCACCTTTCAGCAGCTTGAAGGTGGGCTGCAATATTTGGGGACATTCTTTGCTCCTATAGATGTAGATCAATTTACTCAGGGACCTGAGATGTTCACTGTGAGCTCACCTTGCCTCATGGGTGAGCCGGCCCAGAATAAAGAGTGACATCAGGATTTGCTGCCCCTTTGGATCCTGCCGTCTGAGGCGGTCACCTCACGTAGCCTTGTGAGTGGGCTGGCCCTGATGTGAGGTCTTGTCTAATGTGTGATTCTCAGTGAGAACTTAAATATGTTCTTCTTGTATCCCTATTAGGTTTGTTGACACACGCACACTTTTCAAATGCTGTCCATGGCTCTAGCATTTATTAATTGGAAATTTCATAAGTTCATGATTATTCTAGAACTACGTTCCTTAAGAATTTGATCTATTTTTAAGCAACATTTTCTAGTTTGATCCATCAGAATCCATATTAGGTCTATATATTTATTAGGTCAACCAAAAATGCCAGAATATAGTGTGCAAACTTCTGCGTTCTGCAGAACTCTTCATCAGGCTAGATGGTAAATAAGTGGGGAGAAGAGGAGAGAGAGAGAGAGGAGAGAGAGAGAGAGAGAGAGAGAGAGAGAATTGGCTGGTGGAAAAACCATCTGTGTTTGTATTGGGAGGAGACTTAAGTTGGAGGGTGGAAGAAGGAAGCAGGCATTCAACTTAGTGCCTGTGAGGCACTATGCAGGTTTCAGGTTGTACCACAGTCTACTGTGGCTGAATGTTTATGTGCTGAGAATGAGCCTAGTCTTCCCAGAGCTCTTATTCTCCTTTCCCGCCCCTTCCTCTGGTTGTGAAGAGATTTGAAGCATTGGCTTCCAGTTTCAATTAACCATAGTTTAGTGCTCTGTCCAAAATTGTGGTTAATTTCAACCGTGGTTTGTTTCAACATGCCAGCTTTGTAAAACTCAGTTTCAGATTGGCTTGTTTCAAGTGAATCATAATTAAAATGAGCCACAGCTTGTGTGGATCGGACAATACAGCAAACTGCAGTTCAACAAAAATGGGAGTGAAAGCTTCCCAACTCCTCTTGAAGGCCATCAAGGGGCAAAGAGAAGATGGATTGTGGAAGCAATAATGCCTGGATACAGCCAGCAAGCTGCAAGGCTCCAGGGCAATATGAAAAGCTCCATCTATGATGCCTGATGACCTGTGAATTCTACTTACCCACCAGAGTGGGAGGCAGCCAAACTTGAAGGTGGCCTTCAAAGAGAATATCACAAGCACCCACAAACCTGTGGTACTCTTTTCTTAAGCATGGATGGGTGAAGTGAGCTCTCAAAGATCATTTTTAAGCCCTTGCAAAAGGTCATCGTGAGCTACATTCCAACACTGATTGCTACCTTCAAGTGCCCGTAAGCTCAATATGAGGCCTTGGCTAGATTGATAACAGGACATTGCTCCAAATAAGTTGTGACCTATATTTAATAGAGAAGAGTGGCTGATAACTGGATTAGCTGCCAGGGGCAAATGTAAAAGCTGTTATTGAGGTTTGGGGCTGGTCTCTCCTCCTCTTCCAATCTGTGAAGCTCTCTCTCACGCAAGACATTTATTACAGAAGGTCATATCTCTCTATCTCTCTCAGCCTCCCATTACAAACTAGAGAAGGTGACCAGCTTCCTCTTTTCTGCTCTTTTGCCAGACTCCTATGTTCAATCTATTCATGTAATGTCAGAGCCTGCAAGGGAACTGGGGGCATCAGTTAGTGTCAGCAAGCCAGCTGGCATCTGTACACATCCCCCCATCTCCAGCAGCTCACCACAATCCAAACCCGTTTGTTCAGAAGAAAGTCCCATTGATTTCAATGAGTTCTTTCACCTAAGTAAGTATGCTAAAGACTGCATCCATTGATATGACATGTCCTCTGGGGCCTCTGAGTAGCATCGATAAAGTAAGGTGCCAGTAAATCATAACATGCAATGTCATCTGGATTAATTTTGGTATTGACCAGCAATAAATTAAATTTTCTCTTAAAAGTAATAATTCAACAGGCATCACCAGACTGCTGAGGCATTCTTTGCTAGTCATTTGCCAGTATCCAGTCTATAACAAACAGTGTTGAATGATCCCGCAGCCAGGAAACTTTATGGCTTCTATATTTGTGTGTTTAAGGTGGATGAAAATGAAATGATAATGAATAAGCTAACATGATTTTATTCGTGCATATTTTAGTGCCCCCATAAAGAAGATAAAATACAATCAAGTCAGGCAAGTAATAAGAATACGGGGGAAGTGGGATTTGGGTACTAAGTTCATGATGGGCTGTAAATTGTTTTTAACGTCTTAGGGGATAAAACCGTAAAATCTATAGTATGTGCGTGTTAAGCAGATGTATATACAATCACAAAGCACACACAAAACTGCCTAGTGCCTTAAGCCCTCTTCAAGCATTCTGTATTCACGTTAAGTAAACTCGTGAGGGTGCTCTGCGCCCTCGGCTATCCAGATTACCCACCTGGAGAATAATCTCCTGAAGTGGGGAATTGCCTATACTTGTAGTGGTTCGCTGTAACCCTGGAAAAATCAAAGTAGCAATACAACAAGTCCAAGGAAACTTTTGCCTTCTGGACATTACTGAACTACAGTTCCCATCATCCCTAGCCATTGGCCATGCTTGTTGGGGCTAACAGGAGTTGTAGTTCAGCAACGTTTGAAGGACCAAAGCTTTCCCATTCATAAAAAATGGATTTCCCAACCCCCTCTCCTCTGCAGCCCCAGGTGCCCTTCCAAAGCCACTCCTCAGGGTTGGGTGGAGGCTCTGATTCTGAAACAGTATGAAACGTGGCACAGGTTTGAGCAGGAAGCTATGAAACCAGCCTTGCAGAAGCGTGAGTGCCTTTGACTACCATAAACAACCTATTGGATATAAGCCATAATGTTGAAGGTACAGAAAACCAAGCATTGCAAGTCAGCCCACAGCATCACATCAGTTGGTCTGGAAACTGGGCTGTATTGATGCTTACTGCATTCATTCACAATGGCTGACTATGTGAAAGGGAACAAATACACAAGGTGGTTTGAAAGCAGCCTGGATCCTGCATCCATGTTGTGTAAAAGGCTGTGAGTCCCCTTTTCTGTCTTCGCTGGGGTAGAGCAGAAAATGTTGCAGCTCCATGTTGAAGTCCGGGGGCTGCGCGAGAACTTAGCCGTGAAGCACATTTGACGAAGGCAGCGTTCACACTTTCAAATTGTTTAGAGGCCCTGACTTCAAATCTCCCTTTGCTCTTCTTCATTTTAAAGACTGCATGCTGCCTATTATCTGATGCCTTCAATGTCTGTGACAGGCAGAAGTGAAACGACGGCAGTATTGTACTGAGTATTGTACAAGTCTCTCTCTGGAAGGAGATTCTTTACTGACTCCGTCTAAAGTGCATTTGATATAATGCACCGGGGTGACTGTCTTTACTATGTCTTTATTATAGAGTCGCTCTAGGTATGCAAGGCACTAAATGGAGGGAGTAGAATGGGGGTTTTGTAATAGCATTCCAAAGACACAATAAATCTGCCTGTTTGGAATGTACTGTGGGGAGAACTGTTCTGCTTAGAGAAGTTCATTCTGGGTCTTGCCTTTTTCTTTTTTAAAAAACTGCAGCTTTTCATTGCACCCTGGAAGTTTTAGCCATTTAGACTCGGGTAGAATTAGGACTACTTTATATATATATATATATATATATATATATATATATATATAAATGCTGCTTTGAAAATGCGGTGCATAGTAAATTGAGCATCCCTCCTTCCACGGGGAAAGAAGCTCTGAATTTAGTCATTTAGTTTAGCCATTTTATTCACAATCTGAGATGTGGTAAAAATATATATTTTTAAAAACGTGATCTGTCATGGAAAAATCCCATTGAAGAAGATTACAGTGGTTACCCAGGCCTCATTGCTGGTTGTGAAGGGGCCTAAAAATGTAGGTCTGCTGTTGCAGTTAAGTGCACATTTTTAGAAACTTGCTGAGAACTATCCCTGTCTTCTTCTTTTCTCCAGAAAAAGCAGCTGTGCAGGACTTAGATTCAGATCAGGGCTGAGGTGTGTGGGGAGGAGAGGGCATTAGTATCTACCTCTGGTTATTAGGAGCTATAAGTAGCATTGCAGTGTGGAGTGTTCATCTTCAGTATGCCAGCCAGCCAGCCATGCCCTCTTCATAATGCTCCATTCTGACCCCCACCCCAGCCACCCACTCCCAAAACAATCGACCAGCATTCCATGGCCACTGGGAATATTCAGCCCTTGCTGCAGATGTTTTGCAGGACATTGCCTCCTTAGCGGTTTTCATAGAATCATAGAATCGTACAGTTGGTAGATGACCCCAAGGGTGATCTAGTCCAACCCCTGCAATACAGGAATCTCAGCTAAAGCATCCATGACAGATCGCCATCCAACCTCTGTTTAAAAACCTCCAAGGAAGGAGAGTCCACCACCTCTTGTGGAAGTCAGTTCCACTGCTGAATAGCTCTACACTTCTGGAAACCTCTGAGGTTCCCCCAAGCATGCTGATACCCACGTCTTGTTTCAGCATAGCCACATTTTGGGTACATAGCCATCATCATAATTCGTCACCCGAGTTTTCTATTTGCATATATAAGATAGCAGGCCCAGCAAATGTTCTTAAGAGACATGCTCTGCTTAACCTTGGTTTTCTAGAGGAGGCCTTTGAATCTGCTGTGCAATGTTGCTTCCATCATGGACGTAGAAATCATTTCTTCTCCAGCCACCTAAAACCTTGAAATTGTTCCCCTGGCATCACCCAACATAGTATGTACTGGCAGTGCAGTATGCACTTACGGAGCTGCGAATCTAGCACAATGCACGCTGTGCTGGTTTGCTTTCTGAGCGCTACTGCAAGGTATCAAGAAGTCCCACTTACAAAGGCATTCTGAAATCCAGTTCTTGGGGTGCTTTGCCATTGATAATCACATGTCCATTTCATTTCGTGCCAACAAGTCAGTGTTGGTGACCAGCTTAGAGGCAACAACTACACAAAGCTGTGAATGTTGGGAGATACGGGACAGAGAAAAGAACGCACTAATTCACACAGCGCATAGAAAAACTATAGAATTCAGTGCTACAAAATGTAGCGATGGCCACCAACTCAGATGGTGTTAATAGATCTTTAGATAAATTCAGGGAGGACGAAGCTGCCAATGGCTACTGGTCATGAAGTCTGTGTTGTACCTCCACTATTGGGGGCACTATGCCTCTGAATCAGTTGTTGGGAATTGGAAGCAGGGAGAGAGTTGTTGTCCTCAGGTCCTGCTTGCAGGCTTCCCATAGACATCTGGTTGGCCACTGTGAGAACAGGAAGCTGAACTAGGTGGGCCATCATTGGCTTGATCCAGCAGGGTTCTTCTTCTGTTCTTATGGCTTGATTCCTCATTGGCCTGTTACGGAAGCCCCAAAGGGACTTCAGTGGGTCTTGCCATCGAATCTTGCAGGCTCCAGTTAGATAGCTCACTCGGTAGAGCATGAGACTCTTAATCCTAGGGTCGTAGGTTTGAGCCCTACATTGGGTGAAAGATTCCTGCATTACAGGGGCTTGGGCTAGGTGGCCACTTCCAGCTCTACAATTCTATTATTCTATGTCCCCAAAATATAATATAGGATAACAAACCTATCAGAAAGCAAAAAAACACCAGGATTGTATCCAAGAGGCAATATAGGAGGGGGAGGGCTGTTTTTGACTAGAGAGGATTAAATAATTTTTCATAGCTGCCTGTCTGTGCAATAATGCCATGTAGTAATTGCCTTAAAGGTAAAGGTAAAGGACCCCTTACAGTTAAGTCCAGTCGCGAATGACTCTGGGGATTGCTGCGCTCATCTCGCTTTATTGGCCGAGGGAGCCAACGTTTGTCCGCAGTCAGTTTTTCTGGGTCATGTGGCCAGCATGACTGAGCCACTTCTGGCGAAACCAGAGCAGCACATGGAAACACCATTTACCTTCCCACTGGAGTGGTACCTATTTATCTACTTGCACTTTGACATGCTTTTAAACTGCTAGGTTGGCAGGAGATGGGACCGAGCAACGGGAGCTCACCCCATCGCGGGGATTCGAACTGCCAACCTTCCAATCGGCAAGCCCAAGGCTCAGTGGTTTACACCACAGCGCCACCAAATGAATTCAGACATTCATCCCGTGGTGTGCTTCAGAAGAACGTGTCCACCATTTTGCATGGTGGGTCTTGTTACAAATCTCGGCTTGGTACAAAATGGTGTGAAGCAAAGTGAGGCTGCACCAGTTCACAAGGTAACATCTGTCTGCTGAGTTATTTGAATTAAAGCCACACATTTCCCTGAAGAATCATTCCAAAAACAATGCTGATATATCCTGTATCCCCTACTACACCCTCAAGTTAATAAACAACCCATGCTAGAGTTGAAAAAGGTGGCTCATGTCACAGAAGCCATAGTTTTGATATAGTGAAACTAGTAAAGCAATAAATTTCACATGATGTGGAAAGTGTGCAATGAAAGATTGATTTTTATAACCTCCTAAAATATGGGTTTAGAGTCTGGGTATCACACCTTCTCTCATATATATATATATATATATATATATATATATATATATATATACCTTTCTCAGAATTTGTATTTTTAAAAAATTAAATATATATACTATTGACTCAATGTAAGTAGATTCTACATTCAGTATTTTTATTAAGAAAGCATATATTTCCTCTTATAGCTACCAGATTTTTATATTACAACAGTGTTAATTCAGAAAGACACTGAGAACTGAAATGTACACAATAAATGACAGCAGTTTTGATTGTAAAATTAATATTTTTCTTCCCCTGAATTATGTATTTCTTTTCTAGAGATTAAACTGGATTATGAAGATCTGAATATAATGTACATTGCACTGATGAATGCTGTGGAAATCTTTTTAATTTGCTGTATTTTAATATACTGTTTAATTTTATCAATAAATTAGTCTGTAAACACCTCAAAATGCTGGCTCAGCCTAATGACAAATACGGAAGAAAATACTCCAATTAACTGCACTTGGTAAAATACGAATGACGGCTTGAGAATATCAGCTCAATTTATAAATTGCTGAAACCAAAGCATTGGTAATGGTATGTTGGTTGACTGATAAATCCTGGCAGGAGTTTGTGAAGTGAATGAAGTCTGGGGTATGGTGACAGTTTGAATCCACAGTCACAAAGCTCAACATCATATGAAGTGTTATTGGATAGCACCACCAAAGCCAAGAAATGGAAGAGGCGATGGCTGAATGCTCAAATACTCCCATACAAAAGTCTCCCTGTTCATACAATGCTAGCTGGGAGAAAGGCTCTAGCATAGACTGCTCTCTGACATACTAGCTTTGATTATGCAAGGAATTTGCTAGCATTTGTTCTAGTTTTGCTGGGGTGCCAATACTCCAGTTGGTCGTGTCATTGGTGCTCACCAGAAGGTAAAAGGGGTGATATGGCAGAGAGGTTGGCAGAGTGCAAATGCACTGGCAGGAAAGACAGAATGACTGTGCTGGTGCACTCACACTGCGCTGACCTTCCTGTCATTTCGCTGATCCTCCACTACCTTCTAGTAAGCAGCAACAACACAACTGACTGGAGGTCAGCTGTGCCCTATGATGCTACTGATCCAAAGGCCCCCAGTCCTCCATGGGGGTCTGATCCATAGACCCCTCACCTATATTTTCTTGGAGTTGGCATAGCAAAAGACACACACAGAGAGAGAGAGAGAGTTGACAGAACTGGCCCCCATCTCACATTTTGGCTAGAGTGAGCCAGCAAAGCCACATAAAGCCAAACTGGAGAAGAATTCAAGGGACATTTGCATTCTTTAAACACATTAAACTATATGCACTTTCAACTGACCTGATCCAGTTTTAGTCATCTCCATGAGTATATTTTTTAAAATAATATTTCAATTCCACATTATCTCCATCACAGAACTCAAGGTGTTGTTGTTGTCATCATCAATTAATTAAATGTACGAATCACCTAACCTCTAGGTGACTTACCATAAAAAATAATTTAAAAAATCCAGTATAGACAAACTATGGAATAAATGTATGGAATGTATGGAATATGTTCTAGCAAATGAACAGGCGAAAAGAACAGAAACCCTTCCTTTATCACGAGCGCAGTTACTATCAAACTAACCCAACACTTTGAGAAAACAAAGGTCTTAAACTGACACCCAAAGGATGTTAAGAGGGTACCAGCTGGGCCTCTTTAGGTGAACTGCATTCCATGACCCCCTCTCTTGTTGCCTTTGGAGGGGTCATGCAGAGATGGGTCTCCATGGATTATCTTAGGGATCTTAGTGGAATCATCAAGAAAGAGATGCTCCTTCAGGTACTGGGATCCCAAGACAGAAGTGGCTCACATGGCCAGGGCTGTCTTAAGCATATCCGGTGCCAGGGTGCAAAGACCTGCCCAGCACCCCCAAGCTTGCCCAGTCCCAGGTGTGCAGGAGGGCAGAGCTGGCCAGTTGTCTCAGTGTCTCGCTGGCTTGGTTGCCCCCAAACTCATGGCGCAGAGCTGCCCACAGCAGAAGAGCTCACCGCGGCCCACTTCCCCAGACTCAACTCTCGGGCCCTGGACTCTCGGCATGGTGCCCCTGAGAGCCCGGCACCCAGGTGCCCTACACCCCTAGCACCTATGGGTAAGACCGACCTACACCTGG